TAGATGGCCGCTTGTTTACCTTCAAGCCTTTAAGACCCCAGATGCTATATCTTTTGATAGCCAGGCACCATCAGCTTTCTTCACCACATTTTCTTATGCACCCAATTGTCTTCAGCGATCATATCAGGGAGGTAAGCACACAATGATACAATTTTTAGTTCTTTGATGCCTGATAACTGATCCTTTCGGCACCTCATGATCACACAGGCTGGGTAAACACCATCATCTACAAAACCAACGCTTGTCAACAGGCTCTGAACTAAGCTCTTTCTATGAATCATGCATTCATTTATTCATTTTACAGGCATTTATTAGTGCTCATTCCTGCCAAGTTCTGTTTGACATGCTGGAGATAAGGCAAGGCACAGTGATGGATGCTCTGTCTCATAGGACATGCCACTGAGGAGAGAAATAAGCTCAAAGATCTGCAAGAGGGAATGAGGAGAAGTATAGTAAGGGGGAAGGGATAGGCATGATGGATAACCACCGGTTTCAGATAAGGAGTCATTTGTGCCTGACCTGAGGGAAGTGATGCATGGAGAACTCAAGCAAAGTGACTATCCAGGGAGAATCCAGAGTCACAGCAAATGTCCTGGAATTAATTGGCTTCTTCCCTATGGTAAGCCCTTAGCACATGCCAGACACTGTTCTAGGGGCAGGGAAATTAAACTTAAAGACAAATAAACAAACCGAAAAACCCACTGCTGTCAACTCAACGCCAACTCATAGCAACCCTGTAGGATAGAGTAGAATTTCTCCGTGTTGTCGTCATTGTTAGGTGTGTTGAGTTGGTTTGGACTCTTAGCCACCCTAGGTACAACCGAACAGAATCTTGCCCAGCCCTGCGCCATCCTCACCACTGTTTTTATGTTTGAGTCCATTGATGCCACTGAGTCAATCCATCTCGAAGGCCTTCTCCCTTTTCTGTGCCCCACCACTTTCCCAAGCATGAAGTCCTTCTCCAGGGATTCGCCTGCCTTACAGGATGTGCAAAGAAGCGCTGGTAGCTCAGTGGGTTATCAGTTGGGCTGCTAGCTGTAGTGTCAGCAGTTCAAACCTCGGGAGACCAGAAGGCTTTCTGGACAGCCTCAGAAACCCTAAAGGGTCACCATGATTAGGTGTCAATTCCATGGCAGTCGGGTTCGAGAGGGAATCTTTATGGAAGCCGACTGCCACATCTTGCTCCCACAGAATGTCTTGTGTGTTGAAACCATTGACCTTTGGGTTAGGAGCTGAGTGCTAAAGGAGAGCACCATTGGGGGCGGGAAATAGCAGCAAGCAAGGTTTATGTCCGGGCCCCTAGAACACCATCATTCGGATTGGTTGTCTACACACTGGACAGGGCCTCTTTTTTTTTTGTTTGTATGTATTTTAGTATTATTATTTATTTATTTTCATTTTGTTTATTTTTAAATAACTATTTTCATTTCCAGTAGCTGCCTCCTTGCTAAGGGGGGTGGGGTGGGGTTCAGAGGGTACGGAAGTGGAATCTGCTTACTGGTCGCACCATCTCCATTTTGAAGGTGATTCTGTCCTTCTGTGGTCTGGCCTGCCCTATTTAAATCCCAGGGGGAGTTGATCGAGACGTGCCACCATCATGTCTTCCCCACTTCTGGGCCCCTGGAGAAAACTTTCAAAGGCAACAACAGCTCCGGGGTCCCTGTCGCGGGGCTGGCGGGCAGCAAAGGTCCAAATCAGGCAGAACAGTCTTCTGTGTCATGTGTCTTCAGTGGTGGAAACATTATTTCAGGATGAAGAAGGATGGGATCTAGGAGCCAATACTCGCCA